ACAATTAACCAGGGGAACTGCAGTTTGTCTCCAAAACTTGTGGATGTTCCAACACGAGTAATTTTCAAGAAGAGGCTGGACCACCAGTTGTCTGGAATGGTCTCCTGCTTGAGAAGGGGGCTGGACTAGAAGACCTCCAAGGTCCCTCCCAGCTGTGTTTCTGATTGAACCGAATCGGAACGGGCTTCCTGGACGTTGGCTGGAAGACATTGTTAGCCGTCGCTCTTCAGAATCCAGCAGGGGATTGGCACAAGCCTCCAAGAATGACCGGTCCGCCTTGACCCTCCCTCTGTTTCTAAGGCAGCGCCGCGTGTGTCCGTCTCCTCATTGACGTCGGTGCGAACCTTGAGGCCCATGACTGCCGTTTTGGAACGCCGTTGCATGTGGCCTGTGCGCGAGAACACCTGGACTGCGCCAAGTTGTTGCTCAACGCAGGTGAGTGGCTGCAGGGACCACTGAGGAGCGGGTGGATTGAAGCGCTGGAGATTAAAAACCAGGCGACCCAACCTGGTTCAGGTACCCCTTACCTGGTCTAGTCTTCAAATAAAACCTGTTTGGGGCGGGGTGGTGGTGGTGTCAAAGGTTTATCCTGTCTTAGTCTAATGAGATTAGCTGGAGCCTGTTCCCAGTGTGCACATGCACAGAGCTGCTAGATGAAGGGTCTGGGGAAGGCTCGGACGAGGGCTCTGCGTTGGAGGCAGAGATGGAGCCAGGGCCGTCCGACAATTATCAGCTGCCTTCGGAGTCGGACATCAGTGGGGAAGAAGAATAGCTGGAGCCTGTTCCCAGTGTGCAGATGCACAGAGCTGCTAGATGAAGGGTTTGGGGAAGGCTCGGACGATGGCTCTGCGTTGGAGGCAGAGATGGGGCCAGGGCCGTCCGTCAATTATCAGCTGCCTTCGGAGTCAGACATCAGTGGGGAAGAAGAACAGCTGGAGCCTGTTCCCAATGTGCACATGCACAGAGCTGTCAGCAGAAGGGAACAATTAAGGAACAAGGGCAACTTGGGAGTAAAGCCACAGGTGGATGCTGAATGACCGCTCCCATAGGAATTAAAAGAGGAGCGAAAGGGGAGTAGGGTTTGCGGGAGACAATTAGTTCATTTAATTAATGGGAAGATCTGTTCCTGACTTCTTGCCAAGTCATTGCTGCTACAGCATGGCGTTTGAAAGCTATCAGCCTGGCAACTCTCCCAGCCTGATAAAGGTCTTTAGTTGTGCAGGGAGAGGAATTCCCTTTAACCTAAATAAAATGGGTTTTATCGGGACCGAGGAGTCGGCTTCGTGACCTTGGGAAGCCTGAACGGTCAGAACAGAACCGTTGTAAATCGAGGACTGTCCGGAGTGCATCTCTGACCTTCCCTTTCCACCCCAACCTCCAAGGAGCCAACGTGAACGCCGCCAAACTTCACGAGACGGCCCTTCACCACGCTGCCAAAGTGCGAAACACCGACCTGGCGGAGATGCTGATCCAATTCGGAGGAAACGTTTACGCCCGGGACAACCGAGGCAAAAGGCCCTCCGATTACAGCCAGAGCAGCAGCTCCACAGGAAAATGCTTCGCCTACTATGAACGTGAGTTTATTTATTTTATTTTTTATTTAAAAAGTTTGTCTTTCGTCTGTCTCATCCAGGTGTGCATCAGGTCATGTCAGGAATCAGAATCAGATTTGGGATAGAAGCTGGAAGGGACCTTGAAGGTCTTCTAGTCCAGCCCCACTGCTTGGAGATCCTATATATACCATTTCAGACGAGTGACTACCCAGTCTTGATCTTCGAAATTACTCATGTTGGAGCACCCACAACCTTTGGAGACAAGCTGCTCCTTCCTTCCTTCCTTCCTTCCTTCCTTCCTTCCTTCCTTCCTTCCTTCC